TGGCCGTGTTCTCGATCACCGCGTGCTACGACATCGATCCTATCTACTTTCAAAGATCCCCCATATCCCGCGACGCCCTCCGAGCTCCGTCCGCCGTCGCGCCGAGCGTGTCTCGTTTTAATAGGTCCTTCGTCTTCGGCTCGAGGATTCTAAGCTTCCGGAGCTGGCTTCGGTGTCGCTTCTCGCTTCTTCTTCGGCGTCGAGGCCGGGACGTCGCCGTTTTCTTCCCGGCGAGTCCCTCGGCGGAACGAGGAAGAGATTCTTTTAGATTTTTAGAGCCTTCGAGTAGTAGCCTACTGGTAGATGATCGGGTGCGTGGGTTCGACCGGCAGGTCGCTGTCCAGGTTCAAAGACACGCCGTCCTTGGAGACTAGGTAGTGGGTCAGCAGCTGACCCTTGCCCTTCACGAACACGAGGCCTCGTTGCTCGAAACCGAACCCGAAGGGCTCCAGGATTCTCCTGGTCTCGTCTGTCACCTGTGACCGACATCACGCGTCAGTAACGATTTCGTCAGATTTCTCTTTGAAATCAGTATAATAATCAAACGTCAATGGATTCGGCTTGAATTTTAACCCTTTGCGGACCGAGGTTCTTCGGAAAATACAGAACCTTCGGCAGATGAAGCTAAAACATATATCAAGTGCTTAAATAATAGGAAAAACAAAAACTACGTGCTGATCTCTTGCTGTTCAAGTGATTAAATCATTTGTTTGCGACTTAGTCTTCGAAACATGAACACTCCTGAAATGTCGACATTAGTCCGCAGAGGGTTAAATTATTTTTCCCGCTGTCTGTCTGAAACGTAGAAATATTGCTGCATCTATTCGAATTATTTTATATTCGTTGATCACCGTGTCGATCGATAGCGGTTCCTAAGATCGTGGGATATTTCCGCTGAACGTTTTACGTTCGATTTTACCTGAATGCATCCGACTTTCCCGGTGCTCTCCATCCTGGACGCGACGTTCACCGTGTTACCCCAGATGTCATAATGAGGCTTCCTCGCTCCGATGACCCCGGCGGTCACCGGACCGTGATTGATGCCCATCTTCAGGACAAAGTGATTGAAACTCTGCTCGTTGATGCTGGACAAAGCCTTCTTCAGTTCCAGAGCGAACTCGACTAAAGTGGACAGGTGACCCCATCTGGGGGACTCCTCGGTGTCCTCGGAGTCCATTATGCCGGACGCCGCCATGTACGTGGAGCCTATCGTCTTTATCTTGATGATGCTTTTGAACTTGTTCTGATCGAGGATCTACAGCAATAAAACATTTATTGAGGGCAGCTAGCTTGACAGAGCATCCTCAACAATTTTTCATTTCATTATTTTTCATTCGCAAGAGGTCACGATATCGTTTTACTAGATTACTAGAGCTACCAGTTGAGTCAAATTGACCTATTCCCAAATTCTTTCCTAACTGTTACAAAGACAACAGAAATCTATTTAGTATCACGCACACCGAATCACAAATCAACTGAAATCCCAACAGCTACTCTCTTGGAGTTGATTGCTCGGTAGCTCTAGTTGATTCAAACGTAAAACCTAACCATTCCAAATTCGAAGTCTCCGCTGCTAGACTCGAAACCATAAAAGCAAAGAATATCAAAAGTCTACAGACCGATTGGGCATCTAGAATCTAAGAACGCGTCGAGTTTGCGCCAGGTTTTCGAGGATAATAGATTGCTCACCGCGTCGAAGTCAGAGATTACTTCGTTCAGGAACCTGAGACACTCGAGGCCCTGGTTGTTGATGCTCTCTTCGCTGTAGAAGTCCGCGAAGTTCGGCATGCTGGCGAACAGCACGCCCACCTCCGCGTAGCTCTGGCTGTATAGGTCGTCGTGGTGTCTCGCCCTGCTGAGAAAATAAGCGGCCACGTGCGGCGGAAGGATGTTGTATATCAGGGCGCCATTTCTACGCTTCATGTCCGCCGCCCTTTCCCGTTGCGCGACCACCTCCCTGCCGCGAAGATACAGCCTCCTCCGTGTCTTCTCCGCCTGGAACATCGGTCCGAGAATCGATCATTCTACGGTCATTGAAATTATCGTTTCCGCCAGCCCTCGTTAACCTTTCGACGTCCAATGTCCGCTATAAACCTGCTCGGATCTTTTAAATATTGCTTTACCTATGATAAATTTATCGTATATAAATTATCCAAATACAATTTACTGAAATATTATTTATTCAAATATAATTTATCCAGATATAAAGTGGAATTGCATAGGATGTAGTCTTCGAAGATTCAAACAACTTTGTAAGCTATTGATTCAAAATGTCGATAAACGAGGATTCTGAGAACTAAACTTTTCAACGCTTGAATTGACTTTTCGTAATTTCTTTATAGGAACTTCAAGAGTACATCTATTGAGACTTTAATCGGTGCACAATGCAGTACGTATTGCTAAATCAATTTCTTCAGCAATATGAAAGACATTCGTCAGGGAAAAGGGTCACGTCAAGGGTCGACCGATTTGTCAAGGGCGGTTTTGAGTTGGCTGTACCCGGCGAGCGAATTCCGCAGAATTCGTTCGATCTAACGAGATGATTCCGGGCGGATTTAGTCCGCGGAAGTGTGGACGGCGAGTGCACACTCCGCGCTCGATGAATAAAATGTTGACGGACGGGGGTTGAAGCGTTTCGGGAATGAAGAATGGACACTCGAGCCGCGGGACGAGCACGTCCTCGAGTCTGATGAATTTGTTGGACGGCTCCGTGCGGGGTATCGATTATTCATCTCGCATCGGATGGGTTACATGCATTTTTTGCCGATATACATACGATTGTTTTCAATCCACAGTTTATTGGGAACCGCGGTCTATTTTTCTCGCGTTCCGCGTACTCCCACGGTTCGATTGATAGACTATTAAAAGCGTGGAACACTATTCGTAGAATTCGAAATGATTAATTATCAAAAATAAGTATTAACTCGTTAAGCGGCATATCTTGACAGTTTCCCTTTTGTAGCAAAGAAACGCAGGAACAATTCTTAATTATTTGGCGCTACAATGTTCGCATTTCTAGTCATTCAGAAACGTCAATCACCAGTGATTAACATGTTTAATGTATTAATAAACATCACTGTAGACTTATTTCTCAAAACGGATTTCAGAGAAAGAAAGTGAATCGTGCGCGACAAAATGAATGCGAGGGGATGATGTTTCAGTGTAATGTGATATAAAACTGAGTCCTCGGTATGTTACAATGATGATAAGAATACGATTACTCACGTATCTCGCGACGATGACCAGACAGGTGGCCACGATGAGCAGCATGGTCGACAGGTAGCATTTCGATGGGTTAGAGGTCGGCATAAGGGGCGAAGAGGCGTGGTCCTCCCAGTCTAGCCGCGGGCCGAGCAGCCAGATGTTGATGAAACACTGGATCCCGGCGATACCGTACATCAGGGTCGCCTTGCCGAGGTAACAGATGTAGGTCGGCATCGAGATCGCCACCAGGGTGAGAACGCCGATATGAGAATAATAGGATGGATACGGACACTTCGTCGACGGTGTGACCGACATGTTCAGGTCCGGAATCGGTTCTTGGATTACCACACAGTTACTCTGCGAACGGTAGAACAATTCTCTTCATTCCACGGACGATTCGAACTACTCCTGAGAGTCGTTTCATACTGTTCCAAGCATTTGTTAGAAATAACATTAACCCTTTGCGGACGAAGATTCTTTGAGATATAGGAAACCGTCAGAAGATGAAGCTGAATTATGCATCGATTGCTTAGATAATTGGAAAAAGGAAACTACGCACTGATCTCTTGCTGTTTGAACAGTTAATGAAAGCAGTTGAACTTGATTTTAGAGCTAGCTTGGTGGCTGTTTAGAATACCTCTTGCAAAATGACATAGGAATTCATAATATTAATGAATTGATGTAATTTACTAGTAGATCATGGTTCAAAGACTGTAACGTATCACTGAATAGACTTTAACTCCGGAAATTAGCTTGTAACTTCCAGATCCTAGAAGTGCAGTAGCTAAACCCTAGTAATATGTGGCAGTTAGTGAAAATCCAGTAGGAAAATGATTTCAACTATGGTTCTAGCTTAACGACGAACCTAATATTGACGTCAGATGCTAATTAAGAAACGAGAATACTTTTGTAGCTCGTAAGTAGGTTCTCACCATGTCTAGGAGCAAGAATACCCCCAGGGAGAACGTCATCAGCAAGGCCAGCGCTGTCCTCAGCCACATAGCCTTGACAGCGCCGCCTAAACAGGTGGCACCTGCCAAGACGACCCCAAAGAGTACGACCACCCCCAGACCGCCCCACGTGAAGGGTCCCCAGGGCTGAAACCTCCAAACTGGGGCGGCGCAGATCATCGCCAATGGGCCGCCGATAAGGGACAAAGGTGAGAAAGCCTCCTCGGCGTGGTGAAACGCGGACTCCACTTTCTTGTCCTTGAACCTCAACGTCAACCAATGCGCGTGCCCTTTTATGTCTGCTCCTCCGCCTGCGAATCATTCAGTTTGCTTGAAACGAAGCATTAAGCTCGTTCGCACGTTTGCAGGGCAATCTTGGCATTAGAGAGTTTAGCTTTAAATAGATACTTCAAGATGTCTTACATTCAAGTTGTTTTGTAACAGATCATCTGCTACATATTAAACGAAGTTTAAGTTCCGATAGATACTTGATAGATATAGATGATAGGTTATCTAATAAGAACTAGACAAGATGTATCTTCCAAAAAGGTGTTCCAATGATAAATTATTCTGAATCTCGATGCCATAGAGTATTTAGCTTGAAGATAAATAATTCAGCTGTTCCCGATCCGAAATAACGATCTAGGTTCTCTATTATTTATCTTCCGCGAAGAGTACCTTTGCTGTCGAGCTCCTTGCGCAGCCTCTGCCTAAACTCCTCCGAGTCCTCCTTGTTGTTCCTGTTGTCTTGCGCGTTCTCGGCCGGTTTCTTCGTGTTCTCCGCGTCCGTGAGCGACGCCAGGCTCTTGGTCACAGCTGGCTTGAACGGCTTCAGCGCCCGTACGATGAAGTAAGTGACGATGCCCGCCTTCTGTAACGCTTCCTCCCTGTCCTCCCCGTGTGCCGGCTCGACCTCGAACTCCCCGTTCAGGAAGCTGAGCGTCGCGTTCGAGATGTGCACTCTCCTTCGGGGTATTTATTCAGCCGGGTTATTTGCGAGGCGACACCGCCTTGTTTACCGGATCCCTCGCTCCGATTACTCGAACGACGCGACGCTGGCTCGCTGGATCGCGAGCGCCGGCCGCCATCTTGTCGGAGCGAGAGATTCGGGGGACGCCGACGGTTCGCGCGGCGAACGATGAATTAATTGATTTCGGAATGCTCGAAGATTACTTATCGATGGTTTATGGTTGAATTAATATTATACGGATTCTAAGTGTTCCTAATAATTGAATATTTAATTCAATAATCAGTGGTCATAGTTTGATTAGCGAGTTCCTTACATCACTTTAGTCTGGATACGAAGTTTTCTAAGATATCTTTCAATTTATTAAAGTAGATGCTTAAATATATCTTATAACTATGTGAAACATGTTTAATTTTACATATCTGAATAAATTTTCTATTTCGTTCTTTATTTCACTTCGGTAAGACAGTATATTCTATAATTCTGTTGCATGATTCACTGTTCTGCGACAGATTTAAGCGAATGATTTCCCAGAGATAAACCCACATTGTTATGAAATAGTGCAGGTTAACTATAAAAATAGACAGAGGAATCGCGTTAGCCGGGGCTTAAAGTGAATGGGACGGCAAGGCGGCAGGCGTCTCTGCCTCGTTGATTCAGACACCTCGCCCTTTAACGCGCTCCGTGAAAATAGACGTACGACAGCGCATTAAAAACTGCTACGCCGCCCGTTTCGCCGGGTAATTAATGTCAAAGATATACACACGCGGCCGGAGCGTTCGCTGTGTATCCGCGGTCCGTCAAGGACGTATTTTATGCTCCCCGGCATCGATACCATTCGGCGAGGCGCCGAATCCGTACACCCTCGGCGCCATTAATTCCCGACGCGACCGAGGAACGTCGTTTCCGGTCTCCACGCTTATTTTATTTAACCGATTGTGTCCTCGACTCTTCGAAAATCACGCGATTTCACTTTTCTTCGATGAACAATGTTCTATAAATTAATTTCTTCGTGTTCCGTTGCAATGTATAAAAAGAGAATTTTAATCCGTTCGGAAATTTGAATAATACGCAGTGCACACGAATTTTTCGAAAGGAAGTTTATTGTAATTTCTGAAATCCGTTCCTTTAGTGCGATTACTTCCGCGAGATTAGGTCAATTATTATTATGCTCGTAATTTTTACAAACAAGTTGTCTTTTAGTGACTTTTCGGAGTTGCAGATAAACCGAGGAAGGTTTCTATGTCGATTGATTGGCCGAAATATTCGCGTCGCGTTTGTAAACGATGAATTTTCCCCGTTGAAATTGAATTATTCTGTATCAGGTTTTCAATTTTCCCGGGGACAGTCCACGCCGGAAAAATAACGAAATTCGGCCAGGCCGTGGTTTTTATTTCCTACGTAATAAAGAATGAAATCCTCTTCGTTCCTCCTCGCCTCGAGGGAGAGATTACCCTCTGCTAGGACGGCGCGGAGTAAAAATATTGAATTCAAGCTTTAAATACACGCTTCCTACACCGTCCATTTAATAACAGCTTCTATCTGATAACTATAACAGCAGACGTATCCTCGATACGTGTAACTATGCTAAAATTATCAACCGCCTGTCTCCCGATTTACTATTTTCATTCAGGTCGAATAGGATTTTACACGTTTATAGTATCTCCGGGTAAAACACTCCGGAAGATATTCGTTTATCCCTTAACTCAATTAAAATGTCAATAAGAATCTCCTAAAATTTTTCATAAATGCGAACTTCAATTGCAAGAAACGCGCAGTTATTATTTCAACCATCGAACCAATTGCTTCATACTAATCGAATGTCAATGTATATATTTTTCTTTCATTTCTATACTATTTCAATACTATCATATCATTACTATCACTTCGATAACGAACTAATATTAATTCTGAAATTCCAGTGAATTATAACCTTAACAATGCTTCATTTCAATCCTATTTCAATAGCATCGTATTAATAACAATTCAACAGCAACCTAACAGTAATATTTTCCACGCTGTCGAGTGTCCACGAAATTCAAGCTGCTCAAAATTCCGACAACAACACTCCTATCAACAGAACTCACCCCGCCATTCCGCTGCTCTCCATTTTGTTCGCCAATTCAACGTCCTTGCTGTACACGTCGAACTGCCACTGTTTCTGGCCGAGCACGCCCGCCAAAACCGCGCCCGTGTGTATGCCCACCCTCATATCCACGGGGCTGTTCGTCGTCTGCTGGACGTACTTGATCGCCTCCACCATGGACAGGCCCATGTACACGCATAAAACAGCGTGATCGGTCCTCTCGACCGGTGCTCCACTTATACAGTAATAACAGTCGCCCAGGATCTTGATTCGCAGCTGTTCGTACCTGAAAATAAATCGCGAAAATCAGACATGTGATAACAATCGAAGAATCAGTACTAAACATCTCCATAGAAAACTTCTTCATTTATTCAATTTTCAGAAAAATTGCTAATTCGTCGTTTACCTTAAAGCATATTCTATATCTTTTAATAAACATTCAAATCAATATCCGTTATTTATAAATATACAGATACTTGTAAATACAATTCCTTTGTTTCATTTCTTATGAATTTTTTCACTTTTCAATGAGAAGTCAGCTTTGCATGCTCTATCATTAAATAGGACAAACAGACGAGCGAGTCGCTGAATTTTCCAATCTACTTTCCCATTTTTCCCCTCGATTATTCACGTGTTACATTTTATTTACCGATTCACGTCTCGGCCGCGCGCTAAGGGCTCACACAAAATAGAAACGACGCTATAAATACGTGGACTTTTAATTAGAAGCGGATAAAGGGCAAGGTTCAGCGCAAGTATGCGCCGTTTCGAAAAAGAAACCGTGCCGCGCATATTCGCCTATATATTCGTGCATGTTTAACGGCGGGATCATTTATTTACGGGACGACCTCCGCATTCAGATTGGAAAATCCTCGCCCCGGCGAGTCAAAGGGGATTGGATACAGAAATATTTCATTTAATAACGGCAAAGGAATCCCTCGTTTCCTCGGTGTGCTTTTCTTGCGAGCGGAATAAGGACAAGGCTGCCGTATCATTGACTACGCCACTGCGAGAGCCTTCTGATTGAAATCATCGCGTGAAAACGGGCCACACCGGCGAGAATTTCATTCCCAGGAAAGGGACGAGGGGGATTTCATTTTTTTCCCCCCACTTTGTTCTCGGACTTTGTTCAACGGATAAAAGCTGAATCTCCGAGCGGCGTTTCCGATGGATGTTTATTCATTCAGTTGTTCTTCCTTTATCCTCCTTTGTCGTCTCTGAATTAATGGATGCGGGATTACAGAAGTTGATATTATACGAACAACAAATTCAGTTATTTATTCACTCGTTTCAAACCGACTTTGACTTGAATCGAATCTTGCGGAGCATAATCCGAATCGGACTAATCGAAATTTTCTTTCTTAAGTGGAACAGAAAATATTGAAAGACAGATAAAAAATTTCAATCTTAATTTAAATTTTGCAAATACAATGTTCTAATACTAGATTCACAGATATTTGAGTCGCTCAGAAGCCAACGTGCAGTCGATTTTCCGATATTTCCAGATTTGTACCAATTCCAAGAATTAATAATATTCTTATTTACTCGAGAATTCATTCGTTTCTTCGTTTTTGCTAGGTCAGAAAGCCGTTCTTATAGCTCTGAATATATTGTATAATAATCTCAGAAGCCAAAACATTAATTTTCCCAATCTCTCATTGAGACTCATTGTACTTTATATTCTTCCCAAAGAAACGGCTGTTTATTCCTATTGTCTATCTTGGTGATTAGAATTTCGAGTTTCAGGCACAAAGAATCACGATAAATCCACAATCGCAATTCAAATTGACAGAGACTCTTACTAAATATTTCTCAGATCAGTACAAATAATTACGAAACGCGATATCCGTGGAGTCGACGAGTTCCATGGGTCCATTGTTAAAGGGAGAGAAACCACGTAGAAAATTGGATCGATCGCCGGCTAAGGTATCGACGGCTGATGAATTGGTTCGTTTTGAGTCCGCTCGGCTAAGTCGGATGAAATCGCCGCCCCTCCTCTGCACTACAATGGACATCCTCGGATCGCCAGCCGCGGAATTGACTTTATCAGGGGATTCCGGCGAGTCCTTTTCTCCGTCTCGTTACGCGAGTCCTTCACGGATGTCTCCGGCAATCGATACGTCCGGGGACAAAGTGGTATCGTTACTGGCTCTTTCGCGACGAAACCGAAGCTTCCCGATTAAACCGGTGAAACTCTAATTGAGTCACGAACACGGTGCACCCCTTGCCGTGTAACGACGGGAGGGACTCGTGCTGGAGATTCCCGGATTTGATATCTTCGATGTTTGCGTCGGATATACTGGTTATGGAAGGATGACCATTTTTTTTTAATAACGAGTATAGTTGTGAAGAGGAAACTCGTTTTTGTTGTTTAAGGTGTTTGGGTAGTATATTGTTTTAGAGTGGTAATGAATAGTAGAGATTAATAGGGAAAATTGGGAATAATGAGGAATAGTGGTGAGTAATTTTGAGTAGTTGTGAGTAGTGGTGAGTACTGGTAAATAATAGTGAATAATAGTAATGAATAATAGTGAAGAATACTGAACAAGTCAAACAAGAAAGAAACAAAGAGACACAATTCGAGTATAGAACAACAGACTTAAATTTTTTTTATTAATGACGAATATAGTTGTTGTGAAGAGAAAACTCGTTTTTGTTGTTTAAATTTTTTGGTAGTATATTATTTTAGAGTAGTAATGAATAGTAGAGAGTAATGGAGAATAGTGGTGAATAGTAGTGAGTAGTGGTGAGTAGTGGTGAGTACTGGTGAATAATAGTGAATAATAGTAGTAAATAATACTGAATAATACCGAACAATAACGAACGCCAGTGCGCCAAACAAGAAAGAAACAAAGAGACACAATTCGAGTATAGAACAAGAGACTTAATTACTGCAATCGATAACTCCCACCAATCACAGTGCCATTCTACCCTCCAACTACACATAAAACTTCCAATTTCTAACTTCCATTTCCCCAGTGTTCAGCCATACAACATAAAACTATACTCCGTCCCAAATACCGTTGACTACTTGCTAGAACCCGCGAAACACGAGTCACAGTTCCAGTTTCCGATATTCAAATGGACAATTATACTCCACTTTTCCATCGAGCAGGGAACCGTCCCCGATACACCGTACGAATTATCATGATTATTACCTCTCGCTGAGCTGATCGAACCTCGCGAACAGCTCGTTCAATATTTTCACCAGCTCGCTGGCGCTGTACGTCGACGAGATCGCCGTGAAGCCGACGATGTCCGCGTACAAAATGGAGACGTTCTCGTGCCTCGACATGTAGATCTTCTTGAACTGGGTGTCCAGCGAGGCACCGAGGTCCTGACGCATCTTCACCGCGACGTGCTCGGGCAGGACGCTCAGCAGAAGCCTCTCCTGCTCGGCGCTCTGCTCCTCGATCACCAGCTGAACCTCCAGGCTCTGCCTGGTCTCCAGGAACGCTCGACGCTGCTGGTATTCCGTCAACAAGTAGCTCGAGATGCCCAGCAACATGGCGCCCAGCGACAGCGTCACCGTCAGCACCTGTAGAATATTCCGAACACGGCTCCGGTTAGTTGTGAGACTCTACATTGTAGTATCTAGAATGTTTAAGGTTAACCCCTTAACTTGTACGCTCGAGTTCATTCGAGCGTGAACAGGTCAAACTGTGAAAATAACAATGTGAAAGCAAAGGAAAAAAATCGTTTTATTGGTATTCATCATTTACATGGGATTGTAAGCTATAACACTTATCTATTCAAGAATAAAATATAGCCTTTTTCCGTGGAACAAAAGCGCAGTATATCAAAATTGATTTTTTTGGCCTGTTTGTTTAAAAAAAACTGAGCGTTGAGGGGTTAAAGTATTTTTAAATTTTGTATATTTCTGAGAATCTTCGTCCACAAAGGATTAAAGTTGTGTTGAACGGATGATGTGTTTAAAATATATTACACAACAATACTTGAGTTTTTCTGTAGATAGTGGTATAATTAAACTCACTGAAAATCGCCATCCGCGCAATTCAATTTTCTGAAAATTAGCCGGTACGCGATGTGCTAATATCATGAATAATTCATATAATATAATTACAATTTTTAATATAATGTATTATATTTAATTTTAATAATTAAAGTTAATTATAATAATTAACAATATAATTCATATGTTTCTTAATTAACAGCACAGAGAAGGTTGATCCTAATTTTCGCCGATTTATGTTTAATGCTGTCCTTCGAAAATTGAGGATATCACCTTCCTTTGGCCCAGAATATTTTCATCTACCTCTTCCATCCGTTTCCACAGGAAATCCGTTCGCATCTTCCGATTTATACGGTTCAAGTGTTCCTCGTTCGACGATGCACGTCGGAAATAATTGTAGAACAGAATCGTCGTAACGGCACCGGGAAAAAACGTATCGATGACTTCCCGGGCGCCGTGTAATCGCGTTCGCGTATGAATCATAAGAAGATACCGCGCACGTTAATAACCCACGTGCACGCGACCCGATGCAAATCAGACGGTTCATGAATAAAAGAAATTTCTTTCTATTGGAAAGCTAAGAAACCTGCGCCGAATGCGTTCAATAAAGCGGCACGGTTTCCGAGGCGAGCGCGGGCAACGCGACATGTTTCTTCGCGGGAGAGACGAAAGTGACATCCCTGAATTGAATCCAGAAGAAAATAACATCGGTTCCACGCCCTGTTACTCGCAGACAATCATTCCGCGCACGTTTATGCTTGTCTGTCCGGATTCTCGTCTGGCGAAGCGGCGCAAGCAGCTGTAGAACAGTTCAGGTAGCTCCAGAAACATGTATCTCTACTTTCTCCGTATTATCGTATTATTATTACCGCAGAATATTTGAATTTCGTAGAATAGATATTGCAATGTTAACTTATACATTAGTAAAACTTACAATGTGTAGGATATTCTAGAATTTTAGTATTGTCCTTTCATTATCGCAGAATTGTTAAGTGTTCTCTCGTAATTCGCTGAAACAATATTTCCACCTCCATTTCACGAATGCGTTCGCTCTACATGAGTATTGACGTTTCTCATCTCATTATTCTCAAACTTCAATTTCTACCTTCAAACATACATCAATCACACTGGAATTCTTGTACTCGAAATTCCCTGGATTGAACACAGTCTTCTCTAAATGGAGCGAAAACCGAGTTTCACCCGCAAATCCCTTCTAGCTGCGGCAAACCAGCTACCCAAAAAGGAGAACAAAAGCTCTGATATTGTGAAAAGTAAACGAGATTCGCGTGAAAAAGCATTATGCCCGGGTCGCGTGTCTCCCAGCCGCTTATTCGCTCCCTTGACCCAGAAAATCCCCAGCGATTTGGTAGCGGGCGGGATCCGCGGCCGCGAAATTAACGCTTCTTTCCTCTGTCGATTCCGCACGGGTCGTGCGTTCAGTTTCCGGCCAAACGGCCTTTTCTGGGCGAAAGTGTGAGTGATATGAACAAATGTTTCCGACTAAAGCTGTGAAGTATACAGCTAAACACATGATAATTTTGCTTCTCGATTCCAACGCTATATAAATAGAGAAACTGAGTTTATTCGCAGATAATTGCTATTTTTCAAATGAAAATCATTCTGTATAGCAAGGACTGCTTAACAACACGTTGGTAACCTCTAACCTTCGTTAATCAATTTTTCGAATTTTAGGCTTACCTCTACAGGCGTTACCTGGACAAAATTCAATAACTGAAACATTTCTTTGTATCACTCATATTTTTTAAGTTATTGAATTTTTTATTCAGTTATTGAACTTTTTGACAAAAGTTGTACGGTATATAGCTAAACATATGGTGGTTATATTTTTGTTAACATTACAGGGATATTATGAAGTTTCTTCAATGATAATGGATATTTTCTTTTCTATTCCAACGCTATATAAATATAGAAACTGAGTTTATTCGCAGAAAATAGTTATTTTTCAAATGAAAATCATTCTGTATCCAATTTTCAGTTTTCAAATCGTTGAATTTTCGATTCGTCCACAGGCGGCCGCACTGTGCGCCGCCGCCGCGCACGGCACCGAGATATGACAAAACCATCGTTAAATTTCCGAGAAAGCCGGGATCGATAAGCTACTTTTGTTCTAGAACGCGCGGCGTTCCCGTCGTTCGGGTCTCGGCCGGCCGTTCGTTTCGGTTCAGTTCGATTCCAACAAATTCTCCGCGTTCTCCCCGCTGTTCACGAAGTTTTTAGCACGTCTCGTTTCCGTCTCGATGCCTCGAATTTATTCGTCGAACGATTGGCTCCACTGAGATAGGGCTTTCGCTGAGATACGACCGGATATGCCGAGGGCACTTTTGCCGCATTAGACGGCAGCCGGTTTGCCGTGGTGACCTCTGTGAAAAGTGTGTACCTGAATTGTGCATTTAAATGTGCACTGTATACAGGTTCTTCGGAATAATTGTTTATACGTTGTTATTCGTTCGGTTTATTTCGTCTTGAATGAAAAATATATTTTAGTTTTTGACACTAGAAGTACCGAGCATTTAATACGATCAATATGTAATCCGTATAAAAATTGTAACAATAGATTATTGTCAGTTTTTTTAGATTCATAGTATTCAAATGAAATTATTTATTTTCAAGATCATTTCAGTTATTGAATGCTTTTAAGATAATAATTGCGAAGCAAAAAGATCAAAACCAGTCATTTTACGGTACGGTAGTTCTAGTGTTAATGGAATTGCCATTCGAATAGCAAATGGTAACTATTTCCGCGTGACGAGTTGTTTCGCCTTGGTCTTCAAATATTGTATTTCGAATATCTTGAGAAATATATTTTAGTTTTCACTGAAATCGCAATTTGAATAGCAAATGATATTTTCTATGCGTGACAAGTGTACTCGCAACAGAATACTATCATTTCTCCATGATTATTCAGTTTGTTCCTTTAGAAGTGCTTGGATCGTAAATAGTTTGGTGAGTGATTCAGCGATGAACGTGTCAAAGGCTAATAACTGATAACAGAAGCATTAGAATACTTTCAAGAAACAGAACATTCCGAGATATTTCACTTGACATCTTTTTAACGTTTCATCGAATGTCACCGAAACGGAGTTACTCGAAGTACAATCATATTGTTCATTAACACTAATATTTTCGAAATATTTTCGTCCAATGAAGTTGTTGGGGGTTGAATCTGCTGTCTTGTGGTCACGCTTTGCAGGGTAAGTCGGACAGGTCAAGTCAGGATCGTCAGTAGGAGTGAGGAGTACCGTTAGGGTGTCGCGAAGCTAAGCCGTCCCTTGTGTATTGAAAATGTCTTAATTTGTTTCTTATGGTGTGTCGAACGGTTAGGGTTTTATTTAACGTGTCCGGGCCTTTTTCTCTATCATTCTAAAAACTAAGTGTTCCTTGACCATAGAAATGCAAACGGAACGATGAGGGTTATTGCTTAATCGTATGTATTCTTAACAATAAATTCACGTTCGAAAGAGGAGAGAAAGGATTAGATGAAACGGAATCGTCGAACGTGGCGTCAGCCGCGAAACAACGACGTCTCGCGTCGTCGCGCGGCCTTCTCGTTGTTTCTCATTTTCCATGTTTCCAACGGCGAACCGTCTGGTGTCCGCGCGTCCGACGGTCCGCCATTCAGCGACGAGCGCTTTTGTCGGGGCCGTTTGTCCACCGCGTGACAAACAGTACCGCGAAATCGCGATTGAACTTCGTCCTCCTCTTTTTTCGGCGATCGGACGCGACGGCCGGGACGTTTTTCAGCCCGTTGCCGTTCGATTTCTATTATTGACGGGCGCGTCGTCGACGGAACCGAGCAAATTAAACGTCCGTTCGGCCGGACGTTTACCGAATTACCTTGTTCGCCGGATTTAATGACCCTCTGTTGCAGTTAATTCGATTTCGCCCGCGGTCTCCGCGTGAAATATCTGTCGGCGATAGCATGAAGGGCTGTCGGTGATTCTGTCGACAGTGCCCGCTCTGTCGATACGTAGTTTCCTTCGTTCTTTAGGGAATTAATATCCTGCTTTTCGGATAGAGTATGTTTGTATTGATAATCGCTTCTGTGTTCAACGTTGTTCGGTGGACTTAACCACTTGCACCAGGAATTAATTCAGAGATTTAGCAAAGTCTTGTGAGAATTTTGTTTTTACCTATTTCACGCGAGTATGTATGCTAATTTTGTTTATTAATCATTTTATATAGAGTGGTACATTTCGAAACAATGTAATATGCGTGATGCAACGAGATTATCAATGTGTGAAACGTATCGTTGACGATTTGGGAACAAAAACGTCTCGCGCGTGGCACGTCTTTCCAGCGCAAGAGGTTAACAGGAAAAATGTGTATCAGCTGTTAATCGTATTCTTATTGAATCTAATATAGATTGATAACAGTGTATCTAATGACAATAGTAACAAGCATTGCAAATTTAATAACTATTGCAATAAGTACAAACAGCAACAGTAACAGGAATTACAGATTCAATGATAGTAGTGACGAGAATAACGAATCTGACAAGAATAGCAATAAAAATTACAAATCCAGTAGCAGTACTCACAGGAATT